TTTTTTTTTTTTTTTTTTTTTTTTTTTTTTTTTTTTTTTTTTTTTTTTTTTTTTTTTTAATTTATTCAGAGAGCATGTAAATGAATTACTTTTAAGCATGCCCCTTATTATTTATTTAAAGCATGACAGGTCTTTAATAAATCGATGAGATTAACAGCTTGTTGCACCTGTTTATTTATTTCCTGGCTGGCACCTATACTGATGCTTTCGCTATTCCATGAAAAATACATTGGTGTTCCATGAATGTAAGTTATAGCAAGAAAAATTGTAGCATTTTTTCATGTGTGTTTTTTTTTCTATTGAAATGTTTGTTGTGTACTTTGTGTATGGTATAATAATGCATCGTGTTAATTGTTAAGTAAATGAGATCGGTATATGGGAGTGTTGAAGTTCTGGTTTATTAATCATTGTCAACGATCCGGATCTTCATTGTGCCAGATGACTCGAATCCCTGAAACATTTTTTTCTCATAGGTAGCCGGTAATATCATTTTAAAAAAATATTTGTAGACTTTTAAAATATATTGGCGTAATGTAAATGATCGACGAATGAAGAAATTGTTACGTAAAATTTAGTGTTTTAATGTGAATAAAAATGTGTATCGCTATAAGGAATGCAATATGGCTCGTAGTATGTATTAACCATGTTATGAACATTTGGTAAACTAAAATGTATTACATATGCATCGATGTCGTAATGGTGTCCGATCTGGGATGTGCTTAAATTTTGCCGTGATATCCCAAGATTGTCAAGGAATCACTTTCAGAACGATCGGATCCGTTGGCAAAAGAAACAGAAGAATGATACAACATAGTCACGATGGAAGTTATAATTTGCCACCAACCAGACCGAGTCAAGTTGATATAAAATACTACGATGGTAATAGGAGCGAGTGCAATATGAGGAAGGACTTTTATTATACACGTAACAACAGAATATTGATAGGAAGTAACGTGGACAGTGGGCTCGGGGAAAGTACACCGCAAGAATTTTCAAGTTGCTGCTCAAGCTCTGCCGACAGCGCTAAGCCTACTCGGGTAGTATGTATTTTTTTGCTTGCTCGTTTATAACAACGTTTATTTCTTCGTTTATTGATTTTGGTTACCAGTTTTGGTTTCAAGTGAAACTCGTTATTTTCTATATACATTTTACTCTTTATACGTAATTTTAATTCATTATGTTATTATTTATGTTATCAGAAAATAATGGGTAACACTTTTGCTTCAAGTAGTTTAAGCTTTTTGCTTTTAAGAAAGAATAAAAGATTATTATAATCTTTTGAATTTATAGATAAAATTATGTTTATTGAAATCGCTCTTATCATTATATGAAGATCTTTTAAACACACTAAGCGCTTTTCATAAAAAATATGTGGTTAAGGCTTGCTATTTCTTCTTCTGCTAGCCACAGCATTTTATTCCTTTCTTTTTAATTATAGAGTAATAAGAAGAATTGATTCAACAAAATGCTGTTGCTAATACATGTAGTGTATTGTATTGTATTGTACAATTCTCTGCATAGTAAATTAGTAAAATAGTTTTGTTTGGTATAGCCGCAAATGCAATTAGGGGGAGAGGTACGCTATGAACTGTCTTCAAATCAAGAAATCTACCCTCCTGTTGATACTACTCTGGATGCTGTTCTTCAGCCCATTATATCGTAAGTGCTTCTTTTCATTGCTTTGTGCTTCTCTCTTACAATAATATCTAGTAAAGAATTAAAATTAAGTTTGGCTTTATTAATAACTAATGCACTATATGCTGCTGTTACAAACATATAGACATAGTTACACTTTCTAAAAAGTATTGGTATTTTTCAAATAAAAATCACATTTTTACATTTTTTAATGATTTATTTAGAAATTTATTTTTAAATAAATTGTTACTTATATACTATGATACATTTTATTTTGTACTGTTTCAGAACTTTAACAAGGAGGCAACGGAACCGCCCGAATTGAGCATGAAGCTTTAAATAAATACAAATAGACATTTATGCACATATTGTATATTTAAGAAAATTTTTATACCTCATTCAAATTAAATATCTATAATCCCATCAGTCACTGAATCTTATGAAATGGAACAACATAAACATGAATTAAATGCGCAGCACTTTTATTCCTTGATTTAAAAATGTCCCTAATTTTATCTAGTCCTTATTTAGCTCTCCTTAGATGCCATATGCCTCATCAAATTTCCTATAAATTTTTCCATCTTCTTCAAGTCCTGTGCTATTTCCGTTTTATATTGTAGACACTATAAAAAAGAATTATAAATATATTATTTAAATACATTTTTAAGAATTATAAGGTAAGTTGTATAAGAATAAAGCTTACCGTTCGATTATCTGTAAGTTTTAGACATAAAATACCTTTATTATGGCAATATTTCATTGTATACCGAGCCTAAAGAAAGAAAACAATAAATTATAAACTTCATAATTATTAAACTATTTATAAATACTATCAATTTCCATAAATTTTATTAATTGTAAACCTTTAATTTAATATTGAACAATTGATTAATTATAAAATAAATATTAATTTTTTATAAAATAAACACTTATTTATATCTAAATTAATGAATATAAAAATTCTATATATTTAAAATAATATTATTTTTTCACTTCAAAAAATTATATAGTAGAATTAGAATTTAAATGATATCATGTTGTCATATCACAATTATAATTTATTATTTATATTTAATCAATGTGTTATTAATTAAATACAATTCTATTATAAAAAATATAATTCTTATAAAAAATTGAATAAGTTAATATAAAATATACCTTCATTGGATCTTGAAGATATAACCTCTCAGCACCTTTTTCGAACTCTTCCCACGAATTTAAATACGTCATTTTTATTAGTAACAAAGTAAAAATTATATAGATAATTAGAATTAGATATTTAGAGATATAATTATACAGATAGTATTTAATGCATTGCCAGAAAAAACTTTGTTTATAAGAATCACAAAACGTGAGAAAAACATAGACAGATGTCTTGTTGGAACTGGAATGGACAAAAAGAAATTGTATTCGTGGCGGCCCCTATGGATAAATCAGTATATTGAATATCGACACTAATATCGATGCACTAGCTTTTAGATAAAGAGAACAAATGATGGAAAAGAGATAGAAATAGGATAAAAATATTGAAATTAACGCCATCTCCAGAGTGCCGCAAATGAAACATATATAAAAAGGACAATAAATAATAAATGAAGGATAGAGATAGGTAATATAGTAAAAATTGACTATTAACGCCATCTTTCGAATATTGAAGATATTTATTCAAAAGGATAAAGTAGGGTAAGAATTGAAGATTAGCGCCATCCTTTGAGTATTTTGTAAAAAAAGTTACTTTTGTTATTTAAGAGATGGCGCTGAGAGTCAAAATTCTTGCTCTATTTCTATCCTTTTCTTATTATTTGCTATCCTTTATATGTTTGTTTCATTTACGACACTCTAGAGATGGCGCTGATTTCAATATTTTTATTCTATCTATCTTTGTCTTATTAGTAACTCTCCTTGTCTATACTTATTCCATAAACTCTAAATGCTAAGAAACAGTACCGATATCTGATTGTTTTATCTGTTGTTTTTTTATTTTTATTTATTTAACTTATTGATATAATCATAATAAATCTTAACATAGTCATCCAATTTTTATATTATAGGTATAATGTGTAATATATATATTATAGATATATGTGTTTAATTTTATTTATTTATATATTATATAGATATTTTATATACATTTGATATATTTTAGGTTAGAAAAGAATA